TTTTTTTTGCGAAATTGCTATCCTATATATATACGCGCTGAGAGATTATGCAGCAATGCAGCATAGAACGTCGAACAAACGTTCCGAGACGTGTCGCTGTGTTGAACGTTAAAGTGTGATCGAATTTAATATTTTACAATATTGAATCTATGTTAATTTTTCTATATTGATTGTTAATATTGCTGAAACATTGAAACTAAAGTCGCCCAGTTGCAGTTACGTTATCGGATAGTCCCAGGATGGATATGGCGCAGTTCTATTTCGATCGTAAGTAAAAAGAAAATCAAATAAACGGCGCAGCATTATAAGATTCTTCATCCGTGGTTTAATAAAATTCTTTGAAAGCGACCATCCAAGGGTTTTAAAACGAAAGCAAATGAAATGTATTTTAAGAGTATTTTCGTTCAGTTTTGCATAAAAATTACGTCGGGAACCTGATGATGTTGGAACTTGGTTCTTGGAAATTATATAACACAAATGTTGAATGTTTCTGAATGTTAACTGTCAACTTAATGTATACTGCCACGTCTACAAGACACAAATTCAACAGACATTGAACATATATTTAATTTTTTAAACAACATCTGCAATGTTTTTTCAATGTTGAAGCAACATTCATAATGTTGCAATTCAACGTTCCTGATATGTATTGATTCTATATTTATATGATTATTCGCTTCTTTACGAAGGACATGTATGTCGTGTGCGTGTGCGTGTGCGTGTGCGTGTGCGTGTGTGTGTATGTGTGTGTGTAGTCTATTATTTACACCTATAATAAATGATGTCATAATTTAAGTGATCATTTTGGTTGTAACAATAGTATGTATGTATGTACGTATATTAAATATGTATGTAAATTAATAGCGATATTTATGGCATCACATATTTTAGCATATACATTTAATCCTTACTTTTCTAAGATGGTGGTATTCTGACTGCATCCTAATGCTTCAAGAATCACCATTTGGTCGCTCGGATAATTGGAGTTAAGATACTCTTTCCACAAAAAATCCCAGTCTTCAGAAGTTCCATATCTCATGGCTATACAATACGCTATGGTCCTTTCGTTTGGCATGATACTGTTGAATATTAAACATTAGCTAAACTATAATAAAATTACAAACAACTCTATTTTTGAGATTGCATGCAAAAGACGGAATTAATATTTCAACTTTTACTTATTGAATAGAGAGAAAGCGTCCGAAGTAATGATTACCAGTTCACATAGTTGAAACTACTTTCGATATTGTATGATATGATTTATATTGTATGACTATCTTATTGATTATAGAATAGATGATGATCTCAAAAAGTTTATATAATGCTAGTGGCTACTTGTATATTGACTTTTACTTATATCTACGTATACTATATGAAAATCATAACAGATATGACGGAATGCTTGTATAATCTTACCGGGCAGTAGCATTTGTTCTCCACTGTTTAAATTTCTCTTTGTAAATTGTTACACATTCGTTATCGTCGAATTTACAGAGCCAATTATTCACCTCTTGTCGTAATAGAATCGTTAATCTGTCATCATTTTCTTTATCCTCATATCTTAGCTGCATGTGTATATTATCGATAAGAGACAGAACATATAACTAGAAATATAAAATAAACAGCATTAAAAATTATGTTCAAATTTATTATATTTTTATACATAAATTTATATAAATATTTTGGAATTCTAATTGCACTCTCTGAAATATATACTTAAATAATTTTATAATAAAGTTTAAAATAAAATGTTAATTATAAATCACCCAAATTTACATAATGAACAATGTGTACAGGATTTCTGTTGTAATTCAATTAAATTTACTTTTTTAATTTAATATACAAATTTATGTTTTATATGTAATTAAAAAAAATAAACCTTAAAGTAAGAGTGTTCCTCGTGTCCTGTAAATCGCATATTTAAATATTCGAAACCGTTAAATGCTGCTTTAAAGGGTAAATAATTCGTTTCCCTTTTAAGATAAAGCAATCCATCGAGAACCATAGCATAATTTTGATAACCTGCTCTACCCAGATTTAACAGATCGTCTACAATGCTGGCTCTGTTTAATACATGAATATCATCCAGATTACCGTTTTTCAAGCTATTAAAAATGTTTTGCCATCCGCGGTTGTTATAATTTACACGATAGAAACCTATACACAAAATTAATATTTTATTAAAAAATATCTTTTTTCAATATAATTGAATATAAATTTCTTAATTAGAAACAATTTAATAATTAGCATACGATAATAGTATAACTGTCTAATGAAATATAACGCGTATTAGATGTTGCTATTACAAATAATAGTTCTTAAATTATTCTTGTGCAATAAAAAATATTGTTTAATACGAACCTGATGATTGAAGGTTGAATATTACCCATTCTTTTGGATCAACTTTGACACGAATGTTGTATCTTTCGGTAGACATCCAATACTTCGGAATCGTGTTATCAAAGTCTGGTTTACTTTGTGTGGTAAATGTGAGCGGGATAGTCCAAGTGTGATTCGTAGGACTCTCACATGTAAAGTTTGTCAGAAGAAAGCGATTTTGATAAAGTGGTAATATTACGCCATTGTCATTAATGACGATTGTTACAACGGGGTATCCGGCTTTTGTAGTCCAAGTATCCATTATTGTCTTTACATCAATACTTTTTAATCTTGGATCTACTGATTTAATTACTTGATCGTTTATTGCTTTCCATAAAACATCCGGATGACCCAATCCTTTTACTTTACTAAAATATATATATGTATACAGATTACAATTGTAATATAATTTCTCGATCGCACCAAAAGAAAAGACATGGATTTTATATAAATATATCAATGATTCAAAATGTCTTATTTATACAATATGTAATCTCTTTCTCTAATTTTATATTGTAACATTAATTGTCGTTACAAGTTGTTTTTACAAGTAATGTCGTTTTCAAATTTTAAAATCTAATATTTTTTAACAAATTAAAAAATTAATTGTTTTTAAAATACAATTAATTACAGTTTATTATAATATTTACTTGTTTTGTATGTAACTACGTAACCCGTCTTCGAAAATTTTGGTTCCAAATATGAGATTCATCATACGAACAATACTAGCTCCTTTGGAATAAGTAATCATATCTAGAATGTTTAGCAATTTACGGGAAATCACACGAGTCATCGGTAAAGAATCACAAAAACTATCCGCTATTAATGCAGGTTGATGTTGCTGTACCACAAATTGTTCTTTCATATTCCATGTTGTCTTGATCTATAACAAAACAAAAGTGTTATATAGTACAAAAGCAGGATTTATTAATTCAATTTTTGCAAAGATGTAAAAGGTATTGAAATAATTTTGTAAAAGTGAGATATTTTAGGTTTTTTAGGTTTTTTAATATTGCGTGAACGTTAAAATGAATCGATTAACCATTTATTTTTAAAGAATATTAATGCAATACGATTATATGTTTATTGTTTAAAATTAAAATTGTAAAAAAGTTTATTCAAAGACTTAATATTTAAATTTATGAATTTCCTTTTAAAAATTATACAGCTATATTTTAGCTATATTTAATAATATAGTTGTATAACAATAAATAAAATATCCTGAATATTGCTTAATTTTACCTCCGCAGTCGCGAAATATTCAAAGTATGTAGCGAACGCTTCGCTAAGCCAAAAATAGCTCCACCATTTTGGTGTTACCAAATTTCCAAACCATTGATGCGCGAGCTCATGTACGATCGTGGAAGTCACCATCTGCTGCGCTGTCGCTGACGATTCTTTCCCATCGTACAGCACAAAACTCTCGCGATACGTCGTCAATCCCCAATTTTCCATGGCTGAGTTTCCAAAGTCAGGTACGGCCACTATGTCCATTTTAGGAAGTATATAAATTTCGTTGAACTTTTTGTTAAACAGCTCGATGGCTGTGGTGCCGATCTTCAAAGCGTATTGAGTCTGATTGATGGTGGATGGTTTGGACCATACTTTAAATTGAATTCCTCCAGAAGAAGTTGAATTTCGAAAATCGAATTCCGAAATCACAAAGGTCACCAAGTAAGTAGGTATTGGGATGCTTTGATCGAAAATATCACAGCTCTTGTCTTTAAAATCTCTTTAAAAAAACAAATGTATAATAAATTCATTAAAGAAAGCTCATTTGGGAGAAACTGTGTATATTAGCAGATGCACGCTTTTTTGACACTTACATCAGTTCTCTAGTTAATGTTAATGGCATATTACTAAGACTCCTATAATTGTCGTCTCTTACTATAGAGATATTGAATTTTGCCTTAAAACTCGGCTCATCGAAACATGGAAAGGCATGTCTCGCATATGTCATTCCAAATTGTGTCACAGCTAGCCATCTGGTTTTAAACAGACATTCGTATTAGAAAGCATTATTTACTGGAATTGATAATATTTGTATAACGTATCCTTATTTCTCTTATTGTCGTGAAATAGATTGTATTACTTGATCTGTCCGTTGTCGTCGAAGTAAGAACTTCTATAAAATCCGACCATATTTTTGTCATCTAACATGATTCCACGCCATACAAATGTAATTTCTATATGATCATCCTTTGCGAAGGTTTCGGAGGTGCTGATAGTGTACATTTCAGTAATATTGTCATACGAAGTCGAAAAGTTTCGAGGCAGATTTCCATAATTTGGCACAAGTACTGAAATATTTACTGTTTTGATTTCGATTAGGCTTCCTACATGAAGTGTAATATTGTTAGTTGCGTGTTCTTGTATCACAACAGTAATTTTTGAGTTGCCCCGACATATATTGTCTTGTAAATTTGGAATCAGTAAGATAGAGTATGAAATAGGTTTAACATTTGTTGATAATCTATCGATGGCGTTGCTATTTTGTGCGTCATCCTGATTTTGTGCATCTAAAAAATACATTACATAAGTTATCTTAAAACTATATATGAAACAATATATTTAAAAAATAATATATTGTAAAATTGGCAAAATTGGCTGTATAAAGTACCTACTTAATAATCTAATCGCATCAATTGAAGATATGCATGCATAAATTCTTCCGACAAATATGTAAAATTTTCTATTACTGATGATATTTAATTTAATTTTATAACAATAAAATTTTATGCCTATAATTTTACAAAGTTAAGATTTATTTTATTGGACAAATATTGAAGAGAACTGACGTGATTCGTATAATGCAAAAATATATAATTTTTATATTTAATACTAAGCTTATTTTATTATACGTATATAAAACATTTATGTATATATTTAACATTAGTATTAAATATTTATAACTAATTAATACATTTTTGCATTTTGTACGAACCACATATATCTTAATTAACATATTATACATATATATGTATGTATGTGTGTATGTGTTTCAATTTATTTTTATATAAATGGTTTTTGAAAAGTAAATTAATGTACAATAATAATAAATTTCTATGTTAAATATAAAATAAATAGAATTACCATTATTAAAAGGAGTCTTACTTGCTACGTTTCCGCTAAGTAATGAGATTAGGACGTAAAGTAACAAATCGTCCTGTAAAATCTTCATCTGAAAGGCAATTATATGATTTTTTTGAGTTTCAGAAACTGTAAAAAGATTATACATGGGCACATATAAATTTTTTTTCATTTAATTAGCAATTGATCAATTGCAACTGCCATGTTGTATCTCGCTTAAATGCATTAATTTGTCTTAATTATTTACCGTTAAAAAGAAAATAACGCTTGATGAAAGATTAAAATAGTTTTCGAGTAGATTCGCACATGTGCATATTAATAAATCAAACAAAAGAGTTATCCATTATTTAACGTTTTCAAAATGTCTTGTAGGCTTATATCATTAATACTCGTTTCAAAATTGAAGAATTTCGATTACATATTTGGAAATTGATTGTACTTACCTTCACTAAAAGTTTTATCACATTTGTGACTAGTGCACGGCACGCTGCTATTCTATCTGTACAATATTCCCGAAATAATTGTCTGCACGAAAGACACGCACTTACATATATGTTCGCTAGGCCTGTCGCTCTCTATCTAGCTCGCTCCAGACAAAGTAGTAGAAGTGGTAGGGGTTCACGATCTTTGGACATGCCTGACACGTATGTACACGCATACCTGATAGAGTCGCGCAAACACTGTAAATAAATATCGATAGAAACGGATTTCGGAACCGATATTAACGCGAAAAAATAAACATGGAATAACGAGCCGCGATTGAATTCAATAAATTACATTGATCAAAATTCGTAAGTTATATAGCATAGCAATAAATGCACTGAAGCAATTATACTGGATATCGACATGCATCGGAGTCTATCGTTAAATGTTGGAAAGCAAGACGGTGAATCTATCGGAAGGACATCGATCATTTGGCAAAATGTCATCGCTTTAAAATAATTTAAATCATTCGAAAAAGAGATCGAATGTCAGAGCAGGTTTCGAAGAAGGGGTGGTGGTGATACGAACGAACGTGTAAAAGTTTATATACGCTGAGAAAAAGATGTTATATATATGTTCTCGATATAAAACGTAATTTGTACGCAATAAGTATACGTAGCAAAAATATGTTTAAAAGATTGATAAATTAAATATATATTAATATTAACAAATTATTGAAATTTCAGTAAAAGATGGAATATAATGAATTTTAGAATTTTACGTAGATACTTGCTAATAATGATATTGCAAGCAAACATTATAAGAAATTATAATAAACTTTTGAATTATCAGACACATAATCATATTAAATATATTGTACATATATAGGATTAATACTGATTAATTATAATACATATAATTTACGTAAGATTAACATTCATTCATAAATGTACAGAAACAGAGAACTGTCAGCCAAATTTACATCAATAAAAACATGTACACAATTATAATAACGACACGTTTGTTCACAATTGCTAATAATCGGTATAACAATACATTTCTTTCATACTATAATAATTTTTAAGTTTTCAAAGCATTCGGTTTTCAAGTTCGTGACTCTTCCGATATTAAGCATCGTTTCGTGTGTATAATTATGTGTGTAAATTACGTGACCACCTTATTGTAGTCATTTCCGATATGTATTGGAAAATTTTAATGGCATTGACATTTAAATATTTTTGTAATAACAGTAAACGTAGTTGAAAATAAGGCTCTAAGCTACGTAAGCATAGCTGCGGCAGGGTAAGTAAAAAATAAAATTTCTTACACCGTGATAGAGTAACCAAAATTAAAAATTGCTTATCCTGCGGCAGGGTAAGTAAAAAATAATTTTCCTTACCCCGCGACGGGGGTAAGCAAAATTAAAAATCCTTTACCTCGCGAAGGGGGAAGAAAATTAAAAATTCTTTACTCCGCGGTGGGGTAAGCAAAAAATAGATTTCCTTACCACGACGTGGGGTAAAAAAAAATTATTTCCCTTACCCCGCGGCGGGGTAAGCAACAAATAGTTTTCCTTACCCCGCGGCAGGGTAAGCAAAATAAAAAATCCCTTACCCCGCGGCGGGGTAAGCAAAATTAAACATCCTTTACTCCGCGGCGGGAAAAGCAAAAAATAGTTTTCCTTACCCGACGACAAGGTAGGCAAAAAATAATTTTCCTTACCCCGCGGCGGGGTAAGCAAAATTAAAAATCCCTTACTCTGCGGCGAAGTAAGCAAAAATAAGTTTTCCTTACCCCGCGGCGGGGTAAGCAAAATTAAAAATCCTTTACTCCGCGGCGAGGTAAGCAAAAAATAGTTTTCCTTACCCCACGGCGGGGTAAGCAAAAAATAGTTTTCCTTACACCGTAGCGAGGTAAGCAAAATTAAAAATCCATTATTCCGCGGCGGAGTAAGCAAAAAATAGTTTTCCTTATCCCGCGACGGGGTAAGCAAAATTAATAATCCCTTACACCACGGCGGAGTAAAAAAATTAAAAATCCTTTACTCCGCGGCGGGGTAAGCAAAATTACAAATCCCTTACTCGGCGGCGGGGTAAGCAAAAAATAGTTTTTTTTACCCCGCGGCGGGGTAAGCAAAAAATAGTTTTCTTTAAATCGCGGCGGGGTAAGCAAAATTAAAAATCCCTTACCCCGCGGCGGGGTAGGCAAAAAATACTTTTCCTTATCCCGCGGCGGGGTAAGAAAATAACAAAATCCTTTACCCCGGGGCGGGGTAAGGAAAAAATACAATCCCTTACCCCGCGGCGGGTTAAGGAAAAAATAAATTTCCTTACCCCGCGGCGAGGTAATAAGGAAGAAATAAAATCCCTTACCCCGCAGCGGGGTAAGGAAAAAATACAATCCCTTACTCCGCGGCGGAGTAAAGAAAAAATACTATCTCTTACCCTGCGGCGGGGTAAGGAAAACTATTTTTTACTTACCCCAACACGGGGTGAGCAATTTTTAATTTTCCTTACCCCACCGCGGGGTAAGGAAAACTATTTTTTCTTACCCCGCCGCGGGGTAAGGAAATCTATTTTTCGCTTACCCCGTCGCGGGGTATGGAAAACTATTTTTTCTTACCCCGCCGCGGGGTAAAGGATTTTTAATTTTTTTACCCCGCCGCGGGGTAAGGAAAACTCTTTTGCTTACTCCGCCGCGGTGTAAGGGATTTTTAATTTTACTTACCCCTGCGCGGGGTACGGAAAACAATTTTTTGCTTACCTCGCGCTGGGAAAGGAAAACTATTTTTTGCTTACCCCGTCGCGGGGTATGGAAAACTATATTTTTTGTGGACTACATGTTTTGTGGACATAGAGTCGCTGAAACCAGCTCTATCGCTCGTCCCAGCCAAAGCCCATGTCACACTATACGTATTGCGGATCGGATTAAGATTGCGGATTGCGGATCGGAAGCTAATAACGCGATGAGGCAGCTCTGGATATGCCTCGCCGTGATTGGCTGAATTCTGATCCGCGATCCACAATTCCAATCCAATTCGCGTCTGCAATACGTAGTTTGACCAAGGTATAGAGGAGCCAGCTAAGAATGCGTGAGCACATAAAAAGAGACAGAAAACGAGTCGCCCATCTGCATCCTTGTTCAATTGCGCATGCGAGAAAAAGATAAAAGATGGATGTACCCTTCGCTCTTCCATTTTCTTTCTCTTTCTATCAGCTCACGGTTCCAGTCAAAGGCGCCGCCAGGTCTCCCCTACTCTATGTATATAAACTCTTTGAGTTTGACACGGGCTTAAATCGCGGGCATGGCCGTTCAGGATCCTCTCTGGCACAGAGATTCGAACCCTCGAACCACATCCATTTCGATTTCACCGACAATGTCATAAAATGGATGTAGCTCTACGTAGTACTCATTTAAAAAATGGATGTACTGGCGCCAATGTATGAAAGATTCTGACCGATAACATAAGACGGGATTGCGGCGGGAAGAAGCAAAAGGCGGCAAAAGGATGTCGAACGTGATCGTGTTGAGTGATTCGGACGAGCCCTCGTCTCCCGTTGCTGACAAGCGCAACGAGATCGGATGGGGTATTAACGGCGGGTGTTGTACGGACCCTACGAATGACTTCGATCTCCCGGAGGTGCCGTTCTGCCGCGAGATCGCGGAGAGCTCGACGTCGCAGGGCGAGAATCTTTCGGACTTGAACGCCGACGATGACTGTTGTAAACATGCTGAAGGACCGCCCGTGTCCGATTTGGAGAACAATCGGGTGGAAAAGACGTCGCGTAAGGCGACCGCGGCTACCAGGAAGGACAAGACGACGCTGAGGGAGGAGCGGTTGAGACGTCAGCAAGCTCTGGCGAGGGAGAAGGCGTTGAAGGCGATCGAGCGGAAGACGTCCAGGGACATGAAACCCGGCGAGTGCGTGAGGTTTATGGAGGTCAATCTTGATCGCGACGTCGACGCGGTCGTTTCTCGAGAGGAGATCGAAAGCGCGTTGCGGAATGCCGATATCAAGTGCAACGCGACCACCGAGCTGATTCCTGGCAGCATCACGTGGCGGAGGAACGTCGAGGAGGCCTGCGTCGGCGAGGACAATCAGGTGCGCACGAGGACGAGCGTGCGGACGGAGGAGTACGCTATTGTGATTTGGAGCAGCCACGAGGCGGTGAGGCACGTGGCGGAGGGCACCTTCTGCACGTCCGTCTCGAGCAGCAGGGACCTGATACCGGGTTACAACGTGACCCTGGTCATCTGCGGCATGGAGGAGTACTTCGCGTCTCGAAGGAAGCAGAAATCGAATCCAGCTGGTGGTAAAGGGTCCAGGTACAACGGCAAAGGTAATCAGCGGTTCGACGACGCGTCGCCGGTCATATCGAGGCGGCAACTGGAGATGTGCCTGGCCGAAATTCAGATAGTGGCCAAATGCAGCAGTAGATTGGTCGAGAGCGCGCAGGAGTTGGCGTTGATGGTGTGTCAGTATACCAAGTCCATTTCGGAAATACCGTACAAATTGCAGAAGAGAGGCAGCCGGGAAGATAAATTCGACTGGTACGTCATGGGGGACAACAAGAACACGGTGCGCGTGGACAAAGATGGCAACGGGCTGAAGAGACTGTGGCAGCAGCAGCTGTGCCAATTTAACTTGAGCAGCTTGGAAACGTCCGAGGCAATATGCACAGTTTATCCCAGCCCAATGCAACTTGTCAGGGTATTGTTATAATTAAATATTGCCACGTGACGTGTTGTTGGAAAATTTGTCTGTTTTGTTTGCGAAACAAGTAATGGCCATTTCTATCAATGTAGATTAACTTTAATTTTGTTTTAATTTATTTTGTATTTTTAGTTTTTTAGTTCTAAGGATTAGAAAAACATAAAAAGTAAATAAAACCGGAATTAAAGTTAATTTATATTGGTAGAAATGGACATAAATTAAATATGATCCTTTTACTCTTCTAGGCTTATAGAAAATGCACACCTGACGAAGGCATGAATTTATTGAAAGATATATCTGTAAGTCCTTTAGTTTTATTTTTTTCTATCAAAAAATTTTATCATAAAATATATAAAATCAGACGTCTGATTTCTAATACATACAGTCTAGTCAATTATGTAAATTACAATGTATTTTACATGTAAAGAGATATTCAGCATAGCCTGTCTGTAATCTTACAATTATAAGTTTTACTGTACTATAGTTTAAAATTTATTAACGCAATAAATTATATTATTTAATAGATAAGGAGAGCGGCAGGACCTCTCACAGCTGCGCGTAAAGTGGGTCCTGAATTAAGTAAAAAGGTGTATGTGATGTTTACGTCGCAAAACGGGGATGCTTTATTAGGGAATGAGGTATAAATAATTGCAAACTTTTATAAGAATTTCATCTACATGTAATTCTATTCCATTTCAAGTCCTTCATGTTTATAATACAAATGCATTAAGTTATGTAACAATTGTGTAATCCTTAGAACGTTATCTATTTTTGAATTACATATACTTTAACTTTTTTCAGTCTATTGATATATTATAATTAGAAAAAATTTTAAATTTTCAATAATACTTTTGTTTCTCAAAAATCAGGTTTTGCTAGTCAATTTAAAGAATGTAATTTATTTGTAACCCTTAAATTAAGTAATAAATTGATATTTTTATCATGCATTTTTGCGCAATCATCGTTCATTTTTTTCAGACATATTTTAGAAAAATCCGTAAACGAATTGTAACAAAAGATTAACATTTTAGAAACAATATGCAATTTTCAAAATAACAATATATCACTGTTGTTTAATACTATCTTTTTTTTTGTTTTTCCCATTCTTTGGTTAATTTCAATCTAGCAGCGAACATTTTGTACGTATAAAAAAAATTTATAAATCAGAATATCATTGAACAATTAAACAATTATATTATTTTTTTTAGTATATATTCATCCTTTTTTGCTTGCATTATGCGTATGTAATATATAGAACTTTAAAATATATTGCATAATCTCAATAACAAAATATGTATATCAATAATTACTATTAAAGCTTAGAGACCAGTACAATGTTTGTGATATACAATATTTAGTAATTATAATATATGACATATAAATATGACAATATTCTATTTATATATATAATTTAAAATCTAATATTTTAAAATCTAATTTATCAATATTAAATATGATAATAAATACATTGTTTTACATATATGTGTGTACACACACATATATATATATATATATTTTTTTTTTTTAGATTAATATCGACACACTTTGAAATCATACTTTGCAGATATCTTTTCGCATATCGCACAATCAACAATCAAGTAATCACGTCATGTCTTATAAAGCAATCATGTACTCTACGTTTGCAGTTCACTAACATTATCGAAAATAGACTGTTCTGAATCACGTTCTATGTCGTCCAATTTGGTCTCGTTGAAAATATCGCAGTCGTCGTCGAGAGTCGCGGATGGTGTCTCGTCGATCGCAGGTGCGGGTATGTATTTGCGCTCGATGATATTCTTTTTAATAGCGTCCTCAATCTCGAGTACGTTATCCATACGATGGTCGTCGTAATTTGTTATCGTAGTTGATACCGTGGATGGTTGTGCTTGCACAAATCTGTGCTCGTTTTTCTCGAAGGTCAGGATTTTAGGTGCGCTTACGTCTTCCACGATTTTCTTGGTCGTAACCACCTGCTCGACCCTCTCGTTCTGCTGAGCGAGTTGCGAGTTCCTCTTCGCCAGTATGATCTTGGTGTACTTCACAGTGGGTTGCACCAATCGATTTTCCAGCGGTATTCCGACCCTGCTTTTCGCCGTGACGCCGCTGTTCCGCGTCTGCAGTATCAACTGATTCAAGTTTTGCACAGGCATGTTGGGGCATATAACGGCCTGCGTGGGAGCGGCCCCGAGTTTATTCGGCATCTGCTGCAGCTTGTCTTGCTTGTTGCTGATCAAAACTACCTTGGTGGTGTTGTTCAGTTTCGGTCTCTCCGGAGGCTCCTTAGCCAGCGTCGCCTGCGTCACCACCGGCATCTTATTCAGATTGCTCAAACTATCGTCGTCCTTGGCGAATATTATCGGTATGTCCAGTATATTTCCCAGATCGTCGTCTATATCGTTTGCGATGCTTCGCTTCTGGACGCCCTGGGGCTTCCCCTTCTGCAGCTTCTGCAAGTTGTTGGCGTTGACCGTGATCTTCGGCATTGCCTTCATCGACTTCTGTGAGATTTTCAACTTGTTGGACAGCGGCAGGAAGCTGGAGCTCTGACCGCTAAACGGAACTATCATCGACGAGGGCGCGCCTCTGTTGTGAAGGGAATTCTCGACAATGACTATGTTACCGCACGACGTGTTATGGGAGTTATCAGTACTATTGGACACGGCTCCTTGTCGTGGTAAGTGCGCCGACTTGGATACGTTCAATAAGTGAGAATCACCGCTCACTCCCATCTCTTCCATCGCTACAAAATACACACGTATATTTGTTTTATATCTTAGAAAAGGATATGCGTTAAAATTATCACGTATTATTAACATGCAATAACATATTTTCGAAATATATATTTCCAAGACGTTATACCAACACATCCGACATATACTTTTATATATGATTATAAAACAATTTTCTTAATATCTAATTATTCGAATATTTCATATTTGATATTCAATTTTTCGACACACCTTTCTAATGTTTACTTCTGTATTAACAATTTAACATTATACATGGAAATAATGTACTATTATACTTGATAATTCAATGAATACCAAACATTAACATATTGTTGAGATGGACAGATAGAAATTTAGATTAATAGAATTTTTATTTTCTTCTAATAAAACAACAAAAAGTATTAAATAATTTTCTTACCAAGTATATTTAGTGCAATGATGTACTGTTATAACAATAAGTATTTATCGCTGTCCAACATATCTGATGTAAGTAAAGGCATTAAATCTCCCAAAAGCAATTGTTGAAAATTACCCAGACATCATTAAATCATTTACATATTACTCAAAGTGGACGGGATTAATAAGGTTGGGAAGTAAACAAATTCGAATTATGTTACAAAAAAATATTTATTGAATACAAAATAAAAGGCAACCTAGTGTAATTTACAATATTCCTTTTTAATATGTATTTAAGAATGCTTGACGATCCTTATTGTCATGTTTAAACATGAGCTGTTAATATCATTTGTATAGGAAATAATATAATAATACATATATGTCTAAATTTATCCACTATGTACAGTCACATTGCCAATTGAGAAATAGATCGAAAATCCCCCTTAATTCTTTACATGTACTTGAAATACCTTGTAAATACATGTAATTAAATAATTGAAAGCAATAAAACTATGTTATTAAGTAATTCTAACTACTTTAGCTACAGAGTTATAGAAACTATATGTACAAGAGAGTAAGAGCTTGCAAAGTAAAATAAGTCCAGTATCAAATTAATATTAAGCAGCCTTAGAGAAGAGGAATATTTTGGTTTCGCATAGAAAAAATTCATAACGATTGTGAATCGAATAAATTAATAATTATAAATAAACAAATTTTAGAAATCGTTGCATGATATTTATCTTTTATAAAAATATATATACACCTTCGAAAAGTATTATATATTTTTTAAAAACACAACACGGTTTTAACATTTATTACAGTATACAGAATGTTATATTTTAATGGAAAATGATCGTTGTAGCAAAATATAATTATATATGTACATGAGGTTTCATATCTAGATTCAGGTATACATAGTATCATGTGTACTATACATAATAAACTTTATCGATTTCTGTATTAAAATTTATCTGAAAGTTACATATATATATAATTATTATATATATTATTACATATATATAATATTATGTATAATTATAAGAATTATATTTTATAAAAATAAAATGACATAAAGTAATAAATTATACAGTTTAATATTTTGAAATTTTAGTCAGTGCAATGATTATTACTTCAAATACTTTAATTTGTCTTGTGTATGCTTTGTTAGAATATTTTAAAAGAACAAATATGAGAGATACAAGAAATTGAAAAAAAATTTGAATTTTTGTTCCCTCTGATACAATCTATTATTTATCAAAATATATATGTATAATTTTGATATTATATCATTTGCGCCATTTTACAGAGGTGCAAAAGTTTAATAGAAAAATGTGTATATAAACTTTTACTAGATCACGAAGAAGGAATGAAAACGTGAATTTATTGACCATGTATGATATTTCGTTTGCGTCCACACGCGCACATGTTGTACGTGCGCTACACATTAAATTAATACTATCACCGAGATACTATTAAAGACCGACTTATGTGAGTTAGCGTGGCTGTTTAACAATTGCTAAAATTTAAGCAGTTAGCAAATAACAATATTATTTTTATGATTTATTATTAGGTCAATGTATTTTAGACATGTACATGTATTTACAACTTGCTAATTTTATTTAAAACCGCACCTTTATAGTTATCATCCGTGTTCGATTATCCATAAAGATAAACAGTAAAAAAATATTGTAATTTTGCGGCAATACATATGATAAGTATTCGTACTCATTTATAAAACATGTATATAATTAAAAAAGTCATGATTTTAATAATGTAGTATTCAAACATTTATGTTAATAATCGCAAATTTATGTCAATACTCGATAACATCGACAATCTGCAATTACTTGTGGGCCTTCCCGGGTCCTTTGACAATCATGAAAATTTGCCCAGAATTGACGGTCTTTATATAATAGTATCTCGTCGATTGTACTATATAAAATTATATATAAAAATTTATGTTTTTAAAATTTAAATGTAATGTTTATGCTAAAGCAACTAGTTCAATGGCAGAATTAATTGATGATTTATAATATAAAAATGAATTCAAATATATTGTTGAAATTAATGTTATCACCCTAGATGCATTTATTCTCACTTTGTTTTAAGTAGTGTTTAACTTTGTAATATTCTATTTGTTAAATATGAAAAGTACTCTCATCCAAATACTTTCGGTAAAAAGCAGAAATTATAACATTTGATCGTTTCATTGACGATCGAAAATTGTACAGAGCCTATATATATTATATTTATTTCTACGTTTCAGATGAATTATTTACTAATTGATTAGATAATAGTAATCTACCTTTTGAAGAAGTCGACGTGGACGATGTTGCGGTATTCGCTGACGAATTGGTGGTCGTTAGTAGGATACTGGAAGCCGACGACACACGAGCGGCGGATGCACCGCTCGTTAACGCAATAGAGCTCTTTCCGCTTTGCAAAAGATTCGATAATGTGCCGCTTGTCGCCGGAGGCTTATTAGTTCCTGCTATTTGATAAGCAGAAAAAAAACATAATATTGAAAAAAAAATCACTTTTCTATTAATAACGTGAACTAATTGTATATTCACCTGCGGGAGTTGTATTAACCCTAATCTGATTTCCCGTAGTAAAGACGTTCACCAATTTCGCGTCTCCACCTTTGTCAGGCGCATTGACTTGCCTGTAATTGTTCGAGATCACATTCGAGTAAGACTTAGTGGATACTATCGTTTTCATCTTCGTCTGCAGGGGCACGTTCGAAATGATCTTCGGTAATTTAGCGCTCGAGGATTTGGACGCGTTAGACGTTTTCGAGGTGGTAGTCGTGGATTGACTCACTGCGGTGGGTGCTAAACGTATCGGTCCTATCGGCGCCAGACTCGCTAGTGTGCCGATATTGAGCGTTATGCCATTTTCCGAGTTAATGTTCGGCTGCAGTAAATAATGTATCATGTATACGTAAATAATTATAATTATTTGTTAAAGTGAAGGTATAAATATTTTATCAACAGTTACAGCGTATATTCTATAATACAACATATATATACCTGTGAAGAGAGTCTAGAATTCTTCAGTTCCGCGAGTTGATTTCTCTGATTGCTCGTGGGTCGCTTCCGTTTAACGGTGGAAGTATGATTTGTATGCTGCCCACTCACTTGCACCATATTGGACTGAGCACCGAACGTACCGATTTTGGGGGTCGAGCTCGACGCCACGTTCGTACCGACCGACAGCGCGGAAGACACCGGCGTGCTCGGCCGGGATTTCTTCACGGTCGGCGAATTAGGCTCGCTCTCCACGGAGCTGCTGGTCGAGTTTCTTCGTTTGTGAAAGTCCTTCTTGCTCTTGTTGTCGCAGCTCGCCGCCATTGTCGGCCGCAGCGGTAGCGGATGCGGTTGCAAAAGGATGCTACCGATGAAATCCCCGATCTCGTCCAACACGCATCTGTCCACCATGCTCTGCGTGATGCCCTCGAGCATTTTCTTCGACGTGGATATTCTGAGATAATCGTCGGCCGTGCCCACGACCACCAGACTCGTCTCGACCAGCATCTTCTCGCGGAGCTCCTCCAGATCGTCCGGTCTAACGAGCGTGGCGTTTTGCCCGATGATAAACATGACGGGGCAGCGAATGTCCATTAACACGTCGTCGGGCGTACCTCGTTTCCCCTCGACCGTCGTGAAAGGAAAGCCAATGCAGATGACAGCAGTTATGTGTTCCATCTGGGCTATCTGTAACGAGAAGCGAAGTTAATAACAATAGGAGGAAAAATTAACGCGACATATATGTGAAAATTAATTAATATTTACCTGACAAGCAAGCGCTGCGCCAGAATTGAAACCTACGAGTATGATCGGCCTACCAGGACAATCACTTCTTACATCCTGTATCTTGGCTCTTGTAGCCTGAACCAACTGATCCATGCACACCATCATAGTCATTCTGTTGGCTGCCAAACCCATATGAGTATGAACGGTAGCGACCATACCTAGCGATCCCAGCTGCGTGATCCATTTATGCTGACGAGAGGAAATGGCCGAGGCGATGCCGGAAGGCACCACTACCAAGATCGGATTTCCAGGCAACTTCTTCTGCAATCGATCGTGTTAATTTCTCGCTTCACATTACCAGATCGAAGTAATATGCATTACATGAACAAGTTATCACACTTACAATTCTATTCCCGCTCAAATTCTGCGCGACCGGATCCCAAGATCGTTTCAAGAGCGATCCGAGAGTTTCCCACGTTATGGAACCTCCCTTAGCGCTAATATTTGGTTGCACGGCAATCATTTTATCGATCAGCTGAGGAATCTTCAGTTTTAAGGCCTGCAGAATGTCGAGATAAATGGCTAAATATTCCTGGGGGAGATGCTCGAATAGCAAATTGTGCAGCCATTGTGCCAGTCTCCAGTCCCAACCGGTCGACGCTAACGTTTCTCGAAATCTCCTCGCCGCAACATCCACCGATGTCCTTCGAAAGATCGGTTCCGTCACGCTCTGAGCCTTCGCCAGTCGCGCAAGCCTCTCCGAGCTTAGTATCCGCGTCACTTTGGTAAATATCCGATTCTGGATCGGAGACCATAGAGTTTTCTCTATCTTCTCCTCCCAGTCCTCCTCCTCCTCCTCCTCCTCCTCGGGTCGCGCGAAACTCGCTAAACGTTCAAACTCGTCCATCATGTGTCGAACTCTGGTTAAATCGAAAGGCAATGGCAACGATTCGCTGCCAATATTTTCCACGTCAATTTCTTCATCCTGTCTGTGCTTATCACTAAGATATAAAAAATAATAATGTAGTAAATCAATTGTTATATCCATTTTATGTTCTCTCACATTGAGCAACCAATCAAATTGAATCTAGATATTGTGGATAATCTTACCTCCCAGTGTTTTTCGAGAAAAAAATCTTTTTTATAGGCTTTACATAAGCGTTCTCTGGTTTCCAGTTCCAGGGTCGAGCGTAACAATGATCTTTGACTATTACATCAATGTCCATCTCGTAATTTCCGGCTAGTTGATGTAGATATGCCGTCAACTTGTTTGAAACGTCATCTAACGTGTCAGTAGTTGGACTTGGTAGCCCAGAACTGCTCACGGAGGTGGACGGTGCCGTAGGCACGGATGTTAACATTATGCTTATTTCTAAAAACTAAGATCGGCTGGTAGTCAAGATGAATATTCATGCATTTGATATCTCTGAGTTTTCTCTAAATGTGTCGTATCATGTATTGTAATAGTAGCATACAGTTATATATCACTAAGTATAAAACACTTTAATGTTCCTCTCTCTTCTTCCCTTTCTCGGCAGAAGTGTTCCTGAAACAGACATTGTTCAATGCTACCTCGTATGTTCAAAGTTAATTAAGGACGCTTGCCAGGAAACAGAAATCGACACAGGAGTCTTGGATCTACAATGTGCTCTTTGCTTCCTGCTTTTTGCTTTCTACCTCTTGCCTTTTTATCGACAATCGTGTTTCTTGTCATGTGTCTCTTTCAAAGTTCATCAACATTTATCTCGGGTGAAAATAAAGGATCAGGATATAAGAGGCAAAAAGGCAAGGGTGATAAAAAGTGGTAAAAAGCAAGAAACAAGACGCAAAGAGTACATTGGCAGATCCAGCCTTCTCATCTCTCTCTGAATATCGAACAAAGACAGAATGTCTCCTGGGTCGATTTGTGCCTCTTGCTGAAAAACTTCCCAAGTTAACTATCGCATAAGCTTACTATCAAAGTTAATTAAGGACGCTTGCCAGGAAACAGAAATCGACACAGGAGTCTTGGATCTACAATTTGCTCTTTGCTTCCTGCTTCTTGCCTTTTTATCGACAATCGCATTTCTTGTCATGTGTCTCTTCCAAAGTTCGTCAACATTTATCCCGAGTGAAAATAAAGGATCAGGATATAAGAGGCAAAAAGGCAAGGGTGATAAAAAGTGGTAAAAAGCAAGAAACAAGACGCAAAGAGTACATTGGCAGATCCAGCCTTCTCATCTCTCTCTGAATATCGAACAAAGACAGAATGTCTCCTGGGTCGATTTGTGCCTCTTATGGAAAGCTTCCGAAGTCAACTATCGCATAAGCTTACTATTATCACACAGTGCAAAAATACAACTGCGCTACTTCTAAAATATTGTTAAGATACCGTATTGCGAATCAAATAATTAAGAGATAGACTTCTTACATGCGCGAGAAAATGCGAAAACTAACCTATGTTCCCTTTCTTCACATTCGGACGAGAGCCTCAGTCGTTCATCAAATCAGACTATTCTCGTCTACTTCATCGCGTAGTACCGCGTTCATTTGCTATTCATTAGCATGTGTGGACGATAATTGTGTGGCTATTCGTTTCACTTCCACGTTAAGTGGAACAATCCCAGAGATGCTAAGGCGTTCATCACCACTCCGTACTCACGCGTGACTCGACGACGGATGAAGATACAGTAGAATTCACTACATAGTAATTATGGTAATACGCGCGCAACGCACAGCACCGAATTTACACGAGGGGGAAATGCAATGAATCCAATTTCGTAGATCGACAATTCTTGCGTGCGTGAATGTATGTGTATGTATGTCATGCGCAACCAGAGGGATCCTCTCTGGCGCAACGTAACCTAAAACATTTTATTTACACTCTCTAGCACTTTCTGCACTTGTCTTAAGTAAAGTATACAGGGTGTCTCGTACTCAATGGGCTTGTGGGGAGGTAGTGTGGACCAAACTGAACAAAAAAGTCCTTTACCATTTTGCGATCTTCGCAATAGTTATCGAGATACTATTTCAAAAAAAATTTACGCCAAGTATATACAAGTGTATCGTACATACATTAGATACATCTTATCTAAACCAAAAATATTATTTTAACAAATAAAAGTTGTCCAAAAACCAATATATGAGATCATACAAATTACCAAGTATTTGATTAGACATAGAGAGTAGAGACAAAAATATTTTATTCCAAATCAAAAAAATATTTGTTTAATAAATCGTTTAAATTATTCAAAATTATATGCAGCAAAAAGTTTAATGCCATTGTCTTTCCAAAGATCGGA